CCATCCATCCATCCATCCATCCATCCATCCATCCATCCATCCATCCATCCATCCATCCATCCATCCATCCATCCATCCATGTCAAGAAGTGGGATAGGCTTAAAAGTCCTTTCAGTGTTTATGAATTATAAAAAAGATCAAACTGTATAGAAACAGTACAGAAAACTAAAGAATTTAGTTTTGTTTAGTTTGAGAAAATGAAATAAATCCATATAATCTGATGGTCTAGAGTGAATTTTTATTACTGCCTCTGCTATAAATATTGAAGCTCCTTGACTCAGTTTGATCTTTACTGCAGTAGTGGGGGGCAACAACATCACACTGCAAGAAACTAGATACAAAAAACCCTTTTAGCTTAAATCAAAGCAGCTTAAACAAAAAGATGAAAAGAGCGTGAAATGTTGACTAAGGGATCGTAACCTGGACAGTATCCAATACAGCGGACCATTGAACGCCAAACTGTGGCAATTAGCTTCACGTTCTTTGTCACTGATTGCTCACCAGTAAATCACTGTTTGAAACACATATGGATAAACTTCATGACAGGCCAGTTAATGTTAAAGAATAATTTCCTCCACTTTCATATTAACAGGTGCAAAAGCCCATGGACTCTATAAATGTACAGATATATGGTTTTATATTTAAGGAAGAACTGGTCAGGTTCTCAGAAAACAGCAATATGTTGCTTAGCTATAAATAAATCCACAAACATCAGTTCATGGCTGTGGTACAGACAAGTCTGTCTCCTCTAGGGAGGACTGTCCTCACAGCCAGCCTAAAGAGATAAAAATAAATAGCAGCAGCAGGAAGGTGGGGGAGTTCTATCTCACAGTCCAGAAAAAAAACCCCAAAAAACAGTCTTGCCTCAGGATAGATTAGGATTGCCAATTACAGCTTCTATTGGTTTATTATTTCCTGGTATAGCTCCTGGTGCTGTCAAGGATCTGCTCAGAACAGAGTGCTCTCTAAGCCGCCATGCGTGTTCCCGTAATGGAACGCCGATCAATGAGCTGATCTGATGGAATTACATTCAAGGACATTATCATCCCACGGTAACACTATCATTTCTCACATCATAAAGCATTTCTCCTATCCACACGTCCTTAAAGTGGGGTTAGCCACCAAGAGTTATCTACCCTATTAGGTACCTAATGTGCCCAAAGGATCACATTGTGCGGTGCATTACAACAACCAAGAGAGTGCAGAGTGGAAAAACAAGCAGGTTCTAAAAGAGGGCATTTTCTGCCAAACACCAAACCATGCAGCTGTTGCATTATTTAATAAAAGAGGCAATTAATGGCGTGGTGAGACTATGCATATATCTGTATATGTATATATTTCTGCATATGGAGTAGTCCTCTCATACTCAGCATATAAATAGCTAAATCAGCTAAATCCCGTCATTGTCTTTGTATGTTACTGAAAATATACAGATGATCCCTAAAAGCTGTGTCTTTGCTAAAGAACCAGGGAATTAAAAATGATCTCCACCATTTAAAAAAGAAGTGTCTAAATATGAAGACAAGATAATGCCAGAAATGTACTGGAGGGGAATTAAACGTTATTTTTCTGAGACCTTGATTTTAAGAAATTAAATGTTGTGCCACTTATTTAAATGGTTTATGGGTGGTTTATAATCTAGTTGCTACAGTAGCAGCCATTCAAAATGGCCCTTCCCTGTCAAACGCCAGCCGACTGTATGCCCACTTCCCTGCAACTCCCGGTGAAATCCCCTCCAACTTCCAGCCACTGGCCTTCTCCAGGCCTGCATATTTTTTACTGACTCCACCCTTTCACTGAATTACAGGGTCTGACCAGGAGATGACTATTCTCTTTGGATCTTAATGTCCACAAATCATGACAGAAAGAATATTTTTAGTGCAAAGATTCATGTTTAAAATGGAATCGTAGGACCAGCCAAGGACCAGCCAAGGACCAACCAAGGGCCAGCCAAGGGTCAGCCAAGGACCAACCATTGGCCAACCAAGGACCAACCAAGAACCAACCAATGGCCAGCCAAGGACCAACCAAGGGCCAACCAAGGACCAGCCAAGGACCAACTAAGGACCAACCAAGGACCAACCAAGGGCCAACCAAGGACCAGCCAAGGACCAACTAAGGACCAACCAAGGACCAACCA